TTACACTTACGAATTAAGAACCTCTTTCTTTTTAAAGTCAGTTAAAAAAACAGAAAATCAATTCCTTCTTCTTTATAGTTTTAGTTTAAATAGAGTCGTTGTACATTTATTTGGAAAGATATTTTATATCTTATGTACTTATCTTATAGTTAATTACTTCAGTTTCTTGATCGACACCGAATAGTTAATTTGTACAAGCCAATAACTCCTTAGGCTACGCTAATCTAACCGAACTGCTATTGTATCGAGGCATACGTTAAGTTGAGACGGGACACCGCCGTCATAATCTCTATTATCCCTACTTAATGTTCCGTTATTGTTGAGATTAATCCTAGTAAGTCAGTCTTTGTGTACTAATCTCATTAACTATAAGTATGCCTATATATTCTTACTAATTTTATTAATGGAAAGTTTATTAGTATATTTACTTGGATGATTGTTAAACAACTGGATAGATTTGGAAAGACATCTTTTCGAAAAATACTAAAATTACTATTTCAGTTAAGTAATATTTAATACGATATCAAAGGGTTTAGCCGGATAAAAATAGATGTTTAAATGTTTGTTACTCAATTAAACTTAAACGGCGAATGAATTTCATACAAGGGTAGATGATATTCTAACGTAACACATAAGAAGTTTATATATGATTCACGCAAGTAAACCCGCGGAAAATATCTAGTAAAATATACTTTTAAGCGACGTCAAACAGGCGAGATGAGATACTTCATTTATCTATACTTTTTGTTTACCTAATATCTTCGCCTATTTTAAAAATTCATTTTCCAATCGATCAGATTTACTCCTAACCAACAAAGTTCAATATTAATTTAATCATGATTTCGAAACACTACTTCGCTAAACTTTATTCTTTTTAAAAAGTTTATTTATATTCTCTGTCCTTATATCACTTTGCTCCAAATGATTGCAGCGATTTCACTAAAAGCCTGTATGTATCTTTAAAACCTATCTACATTCATTCCTTCGCTTTCTCCTTTAGTGTTTTTTTAAGTACTTCTTGCGTTCATGTTACCCAAGTAATCAGTAATGAAATGTATACTTATCGGACGAGTCTCTGAAGGCTTTTTTAAGGTTACACACGCTTTTCTATTCCTCGATCGAATCTTCTACCCTTGAGTGAACATGAAAATGCTTTAAAAGAAAATTGCCAATTCTGTGTCCCTAATTTTTTTATGTTTGTTTAAACTATTAAATCTTTCATTGTATTTGTATAGTGATACAAAATGGAATGAAATTTTTTCAGATTTATTTTAAGTTGATATACATCTTAAATCTTAGAATTTAAAAAAAGAACATGATATTTAGCATTAAATACCATAGATGTCTAGGATTGCGTTCCACAAAAAAAAAAACAATAGTGATTGTATAATCAATGTATGTATATACAATAACATATCTTCGCCAGTTCTGAAATTATTTTAATGTTTTTGTATTTGTATTTGTAATGTCATTTGAAAAACTAATTTCTGACTTGATCATAAGCAATGAAATAATTTTCCAACAGAAACAATTCTATCATTTATCATTATTATATTTCATCATAGCCGCAATCCATTGAGGCTAGTTGTTCAGACATTGTATTAAGTCTTATTAGTTAGGTATAGCATTTTGCTTTGTTCTATCAACTAACTAAATTGATAAGTAACTCTAAGCCATCTTTGACAACTTACTTACAAATTATTAAATGATATAAAATAACATATAATATTCTAGTAAACGGTGAATAGAATCTTAAAATGAATATTCAGTTATCTAAACAAACTTTTGTACTGAGTCTGGAAACATGAATTGTTTTTTTTACACGACCACCCAAAAACGAAATGTAATGATGATAATAATTCATGTATGTTATTTTATTGTAACTTCTAAATGTCTGCACAAATTGAGGTATATAGGGTATTATTACAATCCTGACATCATCTTAAGTGACATTGTTTAATTTTTTTTTAATAGTTCTTTTTGGCAGAGCTGTGGCGTTTTTCAATTTGCGGCTCAATTTATACTTGTTGCATGTAATGTAATGTAAAATGATATGATATCTTATCATCACGATACAACAGAAAAGGAAATTATCTCCATTATATAAAGAAGGTGCTTTGCAGCCGACTTCAAAAAGGAATAGGTTCTCAATTCTGTTGTAAACTTAAAAAGTTTATTACCTCATAACTCCGTCAATTATAAACTGATTTATATATATATATATATATATATATATATATATATATATATATATATGTGAAGGGATATATGTATAGATTGATCCCATAGAAATTTTATCAAAATCGATTGTTTAGTTTTTAAATCAAAGTAACTGGTTTTCACACAATTGAAGTAATTTTTTGTGGAATACAATCTTAAATTATAAATTCAAATTAATTAAAAACTCACAGTAAATTAATAACAATTGTATAAGGCATACTGTGTCACACTGCAGTAAATTGTAGAAGAGTCCATTTATTATTGCAAACAATCTTACGCAAGCGGTGGTTGCAAATGCTAATGCAATCTTAAGATGCATACATGTATCCCGTTATATATTGTACATTATACAGTCATAATGCTCCGCTGAATTGCTTTATCTAACGTCAGATATTACATGAGTGTATATGTACAAGTTAATCTGATATAGCTCGTGAATATATAATACACTGCAATGTATTTACGATAAACAATAAACAATATTTAAAGATATTCATCACGAATAATGTTTTTATTTTGTTATTTATTCCCAACAAAATCTTTATTTTTATTACTAGCATTTTACCTGCTATTTCGTACTTGTCGATTTCATAAGTAGAAAATTCAATGAAATAGATCATTTCAAAATCAAAGATAACACAGGTGGACGGGTTGTGTTCAGAAACACAAAAGTGAAAACCGCATCTAATTTGGTACAGTAGTTTTTGCATAGAGCTAAAACAAACATACAGACAAACGAAAATACTAAAAATTATTGCTCCTAGCCATAACAATATTTTTTTATTGTTACATCATATCAGAATAATCATATAGAAATAAAGGGGTCTTAATTAATAAAACTAATTGGTAGTTTTTTAATTAAGTCTAGGAGTAATAATTAATTAATATTAATTATGAATTTAATTAATTAAGAAATAAGACACCTGATATCAATTTTTCTTAAATACTTTCTATATACAAACATCGTCTAGTTACATTTTTTTTTATATTAGTAACATTAGGTATTTATAATAATAATTTTATATAAAAATCCCGTCACGGTGTTTGTTCAAGTTGATCTCTAAAAACTGCTCAACCGATTTTAATAAAAGTTTAACATATGTATATTTTGAGTAGTACCTACTTGAGAGAATAGATATATAGAGATAGCTTTTATCCCAATAAGTGAGGTTGTTGTCGAAAACATAATTCGTATTAAGTACACTATAACTAAATGGTTATATAAAAGTAAAACTAAAACGGTAAATCCCATTACCTTTTTTTTCACTACATATATAACTTCCTAGGTAATACTGAAATTTTTCGTGAATACGTAAATGTTGCATTACCATTTGTCGCGTTCACTGAATCTATGTAGTTAACTTCACACAAGCATGGATTAATAAACATGAATACCGATTTCAGTTGTGACAAAACTAATTATTTGTATTTAAAAACTAATGTACTAAACCTATTTTGATAAAATATTTTTAAGTATATCCTTTTAGATAAAAAAAGAGGTTTTCTAATCAGATATTTCTCAAAAATAACTGACGGAGTTATGAGTTAACAAACATAAAAGAAAAATTATACGACCGATATGGGACAACAAACATAAAGAAAACACAATCGAATTAAAGAAATTGAACCTTTTTTCGAAGTTGATTGGAATTTGCGAAAAATATCTCGATAAAGCAGACGCTAACTGTCTAGAAATCGGTGACAAGAAATCTAAATGGCTCTTGACAAGCGAGAAAAACTAAGCTCACAGACAAACCAAATAACAATTTGTTCCTGATTTTTCAGACAGTATCTCGTTAATTCGAGTAACTCGAATTGTCGAGAACAGATATTGGATGGGTTGGCTTCTATTTTATTTTTTCTATCTATAATTTAGAAAATTTAACAAAGAAACAAGATATCATTATAACATTTGTTTGCTTGTATTTTTACGAATAATGACGTCGTAATTATAACAAAACATAAGTAACTCGTATTTATGTTTTGTTATAATGACGGTGTAATTCTTCTTACAATTGTTTCTCTTTAACCATTATTATTCATTATCATTCTGTCATATTCATCAGGTTTATTAATTGACTATTAATATATTACCAACAATAGGGCCACTAATACCACATATTTTCGTTAAATGTTTTTTAATGATTAATTCATGTAGATAATAGAATGGTCACCCCGCCCGCTAAATATGGATAAGGCAGTGAATTTACAGGGTACAAAATAATAACACCTAAGTCCTCAGGAATGGCAACGCATGGAGGTATCATGGGCGTAACAGTATACTCTGTTATGTCCATGATATTGCTCATGTCTATAGGTGATGGTTGCCACTTTCCATCAGGTGGACCGTTAAATTGTTTGCCATTCTAAGTTGCTTAAAATAATCCATAAACGCTACGGAATACTATAGAGAGATGATAGGTGATGATGAACTAAAACGAGTTGTACCATTGTAACGAATATTCATCAAAAATTAACCATGATGATTACCAGGAGAGACCGCGTGAAGGTTGAACTGATAGAGTACGTATATTACTAGTTATGAGACATCGATCTCACTCATTCCCCAATATAATTATATTAAATAGTATTTTTTATTCAAATGAACATTTTTAAATAGACACTATTTATGATTCTACTGCCTAGTTCGGAATGCAGTTTCAGCTGCGAGAAACCAGCAAAATCGACTCTTGCTTTCTTCAAACAAAAGTTGATTTTATAATTTGTAAATTTATCTAATAAACTACTTTACACCGTAACTTATATTTTTCATGTTGCAGGAGAGCTGTCAAAACTACATCCGCGTGCTGGTGTCCCTCGGGCCGGGGAGATTGCTGGTCTGCGGCACGAACAGCTTCCGTCCCTACTGCAGAGAGTACAGCGTGCAGCGGGAGTCCTACCACATGGAACGGGAGAAGTCCGGGCAGGCCGTCTGTCCGTACGACCCGGAGCATAACTCCACTGCTGTTTATGCTGGTAAGTGTATTATTCCACAATAACACCAGAAGGACACTTTGAAAAAGTTATCTAATTGGTTACTTCTGTCCCATTCGTGTTTCTGCAATCACGCAGCTATGCTTACATGACTGTGTTTCAGTTTTAAAGGCAGTGCAACTACAAGGTAAAGAGGCATCAATCAAGGCGACATCTTGGTTCTCTAATTGCTAATTGTGTTATTAGTGACTTTACATGAAGTGGGCAGTCAGCATATTTAACATTCAAAGGTGCAAAAAAAAACATTCAATATTTATGGCATAGTTACTGAATGTTTATGTCATAGTTATTCAATATCTGTGTCATAATTGCTAAATGTCTATGTCATAGTTACTGAATGTCTATGGCATAGTTACTGAATGTCTATGGCATAGTTACTGAATGCCTATGTAATAGTTACTGAATGTTTATCGCATAGTTACCGAATACCTATGTAATAGTTACTTAATGTTTTTGTTACATTCAGTAACTATGACATGCTTACTGAATGTCTATATCATAGTTACTGAATGTTTTTTTTTTTTACATTCAGTAACTGTGCCATGTTTACTGAATGATTTTTTATGTATCTGACAAAGTAATAAATGTATAATTAACAAACACAAAGGAACAAATGAAAAAATATTTTAAACCAATTAATTTTCATACAATATCGCCACCCCTAGCAATATACTGCGCACTAAGTCCTGGAGTGTACAGTGTACGTGCATGGACAGTGAACACAAATTCCCAACTAATGGGATCTAGCCATCCCCCCGAACACCCAACCAATTAGGAACAACGCACCATGTACTGTGAATCTTCAATTCAGGAACAGCTGTAATCCTATACATTGGGTTACGATAATTCGATACCTAATACATGCATTGGAAACCTGTGCGCCTACGATTTCGTATAAATTTTACAATACCTAAAACTTAATACTGGTTAGCAATATTACTAGTATATATATATATATATATATATATATATATATATATATATATATATATATATATGTATGTATGTATGTCTGTATATATACAATGCAATTTGATTACATTATCTGTGCTGATATAATTAAATTTACATATTTATAATTAGATGTTATCTGTACAAAAATTCATACGAAGGGTCTTAATACTCGTAAGAACAATAGCAACGCATGGGGAGTATCATGGACGAAACAGTATACTCTGTTATGTGCATGGTACTGCTCATGTCTATAGGCGACGGTTACCACTTTTCATCAAGTGAGCCGTCAGCTTATTTGCCATTCTAAGTTGCATAAATAAAAAACGTTTTTTGAAATTTTTATCCTGTCTATTTGTGTATTTATTCCGGTATTGCGCAAAAATTACTGTATCAAATTGAATATGGTTTTCAAGTTGTATTCCTGAAGGTCTAATTTAAAATCTAGTCTATCTAGTATGTTTTATCTTGATACGCCAACTAGGAATTATTATCTATAACAAAACTCCATGCATATGAAATTACGGGGAAAGATAGTGTTAATACATAGTTAAGTATTAATAGTGTAGATAGTTAATATTTATTGTACATACACTACACACTACCCATCATTTAATGCCCTTTAATGATCCTTTTCACTCCACGGGGCTTATTATGAGCAGTTAAAAGCTGACAGTTTTACAGATTAAATTGAGCTGCCTTGCAAATTGGTACTAAAATCATAAACCAAATAGGCCAATTTGTAATAACCCTCCAGATTTTGTAGAACTTTTATAAAGTGAAACACGTCTTTTGTACATCTTTATTCATATTAATTTATAATATGTGAAATAATATATTTAAATTCAATATAAAGAGGAAGGATACCAGAGGGAGACTTTGTACAAAAGTCGTTTGCTTAGGTACCTCTGTCCCATTCGTGTTTCAACCGTAAAGCAGTTGTGTTTGCATGGATGTGTTTCGGTTTGAAAGGTGGGATATGGCGTGAATTTACAGGGTACAGATAAATAACACCTTCTTCCTCAGGAATAGCAAAGCATGGGGAGTATCATGGGCGAAACAGTATACTCTATTATGTCCATGATACTGCTCATGTCTATAGGGGACGGTTACCACATTCCATCAAGTGGGCCGTCAGTTTGTTTACCGTTCTAAGTTGTATAAAAAAAAACAATAAGCAGTATACAGATACTGCTTATTGTTTTAGATACAGATCTAAAAAAGTAAAATCTTCACAATTTTTGCTTTGATTAAAAAATATCATTTTAGTTCTCACACTTTCCTGACTCGTGTATCTATTTAATCGTAAATTCGAACCTGTTATCAAAACTTACCATTCAATTTAAATTTCTAAAATTAACTCATGAATAATTTGTTCGATCGTAATTAATCTAACTTTGCTATTCTATTGTATATTGGGTTCCTATAATTACATTAGTTGAAATGTGAATCGAATGTTGCGTTCACAACGATGGTACAGTCAACAAACATGAGGATGGAAAGGAATTGTTAGTAATGAGGTCTAATAGCCCTATTGCTAGCAATATCTGGGCGACCTCCACGCGATTCACCCTGGAAACCATCGTAGTTAATTCTCGTGGAATCCTTCGCGATAGGCTAATTGACCTACCTTTTCATCCTCACCTATCGTCCCTCACTGATACCTCTCCACTGTATTCCGTTAACGCGAGCAAGGTTCATTATCGGCCATTAAAAAAACCCTGGGATTTACAGTCGTCCGCATAATTTATTTCGACTTCATTTTGATATAGAACATAAGTCGCAGAATTGAAAGTCGTTTCTCAGCCTACCAGAATAAAGGGATTAATGAATCAATGAAAAGTTAATACGTAGAGATATTAACTTCAAACAGCTGTACGATATTCGCCTTTATTGCAACGTTATAAGGGTTAAATCGAATGGAAAACATATTGACAGTTGGTATGTGGGCAACGGTACGTGAAACGGCTTCATAGTACTTATAGTGTCGTAAAATAAACTCGGGTAATGTGGGTATATCGTAAAATTTCCACGTAAAAGGTTACATTTTGCATAGAAAACGATCAAGGCACGACTACAGAAATGTAAAAAGAGGTAGGTAGCATGTTTTATCTCTATTTCAATTGTAAACGTCTGTTGTTTGATTATAGTAATTTATATTCCATTAAGAGCTCTATTAATATTAGTATACCTATGGTCCATCTGTGTAACAAATTTTATTGAAATCTGTGTAGCCATTAAAGCATAATTGAGCAACAAATATTAAAACATACGAGCTTCCATACATTTTTACATATTCAATTTTATAATTAAAACTGCACGACGCGATATTATAATGTTTAATATAGAATAGTGTCTAAACCTAACTTACAAACATTCACATATAAACATATATTTTATCTTCGTATACCATATAACAATAAATAATATAAAAAGAGATATATCCTGTTATCAAGATGTATGAAACCAATTATAATAGAAAAATACGGGGCAATTACCCTGACAAACAATTAAAAAAGAATAAAGATTTTTCAGAACTACAAATTTCGAAATTGAAGAATAATGAATTTTATGCTCATCCAATAATCATGTTACACTAGAATAACAATATCAAATCCATACCCTCAATCATTAGCCGTAGCCGTTTTCTAAAAAACCCCTTACACGTGCCCCATATGCGTTGGGACTCTATTCATTTTGTTGTTAGGAAATTAGGAAAAAGGGAAATCTTTTTCATATCGATTGAACCCACTTTCACAGGCTAGCGACGTACAATAGCCACGCATTGTTGCATTGAAAACGGCCAGAATGGGCATACGAAATACGTGTTATAACGTGACTATTAGGTACCTATATAGAATTGGCACGTTTCAGTATGTACGTGCCATATTCAAGAGGATTGGAGCTTCATTTGCGGTCTGGATATCTAAAACTATTACAGAAAAGAATATAAAATGTGTACTTAATGTCGAATTTCATATCTTTGTCAGTAGTTTTAATACGAGATAAACTGACTAATGTAGATTCCAAGGGTTTTGCATCTAGAAATTTATATTGGATTCTTTAAATGAACAAATGATATTCGACTTCACAAAGCAAAAAAATTTTAATTAAACGAATAATAAATGCTATTTTATTAAATTCTATAGAAATGCTTAAAAATGTATACTACAAAATATACCATGTGTTTTTTTATTATATTTTTAAACTAAAATTTAATGTTAATGACCGACCAAAATTGCCGGGCTGTTTTTTGTATCCGGCCATGACAATAATGTTTACTGTTTTCATGATCATAACATTGTGTTCATTACAACTCTTAATAGTAACAAATTTTAAATTAATTTTTAAAATTAACCCCTCTCTTTAATAAAAATAAGGGAAACGATGTCTATATGCATTGCACAACGGGAATTTAATGAACTTATTGTATTTGTCATATCCTACACTTTTTACGACATCTGGAAGTGTTCTGTTTGTCCTTTCCGACAAAGACAGTAAGTATGTTAAATTCTTGTAGTGTATGTATAGAGACATCGTATTAAAAATTTACCTAAGATTTAAAAATAGTATAACAAGAAAATCGGAAATTATAGCTCTGTCCTATAAGAAATCTAACATGAAGATATATAAATAAAATAATTGCCCAGAGAACATAGAAGAAAAAAAACAAATTCTTTCTTAGGCCGACTGCGCAACCTGAATATTTATAGACTAACTGTAATTTTGTGAAACGAAATGTGGGATTTAGTCAATTCGAAATACTTCCACTAGAATCTCCTGTAAGATATTTACATGTAGGCAAGGAAAATATCAACCACTCCGAGTATTCAGGTCAACTGCACTAAAACGAAATAGGAAATGTTTTGAATAAATTTAAAGGTATAAACTGCAGTATTTTGTAAAAATAACCTGAACATATAAAAAAATTAAGAAAAATTAAGGTCTTTTTATTTAAAATTAATAATGACAATATCAGAATTATATAATGCCAGTCTTAACAATAAGAAACGACGATTGTGAAATCACAT